TGTGTGCTTTAACACAGTTCCTCGTATTTTAGGTGACAATTTTTAGAGAGATGGGATTTCTGTGGTCCCGTGGTTTGGCCTCCAAGATCTCCAGATCTAAACCCGCTGGATTTCTTCCTTTGAGGGTATATCAAGGAGAAGGTTTATCGACATCCCGTTGGATCTGTCGATTTCTAGATGCTCCTCTCCGTAGTTTTCTGTAACTAGGTGTTGGATGTGGAAGTCCAGGGTGTCCAGGTGTTCCGCTCCGTAGTTTCTTGTATCTAGATGTCGGGCGTGGAAGTCCAAGGTGTCCAGGTGTTCTGCTCCGTAGTTTTTTCCATCTAGGTGTTAAATGTGAAAGTTCAGAGTGTTCAGGTGTTCCTCTCCGTAGTTTCTTGTATCTAGTGTAACGTGAATTTTTGACAATCCACGCCACAAATGACCCGCAAGACTAGGGCTATAGCGATGAACTGTTTTACGCTCCAAACGTCAGTCCTAGGTTAAGGCGCACAGATTCCTTAGTATTAAGTCACCCGCCTATCGTCCGCTGTAATGTTTCTTTGCTTGGTTTTATTTGCACTCTGCTTGCTTTCTTTTTCTTTTTCTTTCTTTGGTGTACTGTATCACGCTTTGGTGCCACCGTTTGGTGAGAGCTAGTGGAACAACGTCGAACAACGGGGGAAAGGAGGAAAGAGGCGCTGATTTTTGGTGAACCTTGGAGATTGACTGCCGCCGTTTCACGAGGAGTGGATACTGCACCTAGAGGATCAGGAGAGTCCAGAGTACCCGGGATGGGGCTCGTACTCTCGTCTGCCGACCGTCCAGCTGGGACGCCCTACGATCGACGCCGCCCTCGACGCCGCCCTCGCCGCCGACCAGGAGTTGACGTGTCCTCCTCGTCCTGCCGCAGGGCCGCGAGAATGTCGACGGCGGGCTCATGCAGATGTACCGCCGGAGATCGGGGGGAAGAGCAACCAGCACCGCGGACTCCCGCGCTCCCTGGCCTACGAACGGACCGCAGCACCCGAAGACTCCCGAACGTGCCGCCGACAGCTTCGGTCAACTTCGTGACTAGCGATGATCCTCACCGCGAAAACCCCTTAAGCGATTAATACGTTCGAAGTTCGATATTTTGTCACGGTTCCGCCAGCGCCTAAATAATGTAAATAGTGGGGGTCAAGAGGTCTCGAGCTCAGTGAAATTGAAATAGTATTTCACTTACGTTTGGAGCTTCTTAGCAAGTGGTCTAGTAGGGAAAGTAGTCAGCTTAGGCGAGAGAAAAGAAAGGAGTATCTATAAAATAAAGAGAAGGAAGGAAGGAAGGAAGGAAGGAAGGAAGGAAGGAAGGAAGGAAGGAAGGAAGGAAGGAAGGAAGGAAGGAAGGAAGGAAGGAAGGAAGGAAGGAAGGAAGGAAGGAAGGAAGGAAGGAAGGAAGGAAGGAAGGAAGGAAGGAAGGAAGGAAGGAAGGAAGGAAGGAAGGAAGGAAGGAAGGAAGGAAGGAAGGAAGGAAGGAAGGAAGGAAGGAAGGAAGGAAGGAAGGAAGGAAGGAAGGAAGGAAGGAAGGAAGGAAGGAAGGAAGGAAGGAAGGAAGGAAGGAAGGAAGGAAGGAAGGAAGGAAGGAAGGAAGGAAGGAAGGAAGGAAGGAAGGAAGGAAGGAAGGAAGGAAGGAAGGAAGGAAGGAAAGAAGGAAGGAAGGAAGGAAGGAAGGAAGGAAGGAAGCCCTTCTGGCTCTTCCGAACCACGCACTGATACTTGGCCGCTACCGTATTTGGTGAGACCCTTGACTACCATTATAAATTGGCGAAGTAATTTCTTTGTGTTAGCGAAAATTTACCGTTAAGGCCGTCTGCCTCAACGGGAGTATCTCCGATTTTGAGAGTCCCGATGCGAATGTCTTTCCGCGTCGGGCTAGCAAAAAAAAATGACGATAGTGCAGGGCTTTGCGATTTAGTGATCTTTGGATAAATTTTCTGTTTGTTTGATTTGTGCCGCATGAGGCCCTAAAGTAAGCCCTATACTGGAATCTGTCTCTAAATTAAGTTTTCTCTTATAGTCAAATCTTCCGGTAACGCCGCGCTTTCAAGCGATATTCTATATTATAATTTATTAATGTCTCGCATCTTCTAGTTGCTATTCGTTGCTTATAGATTTTTGGAATTATTTACTGGCTGAATATTGAGCGCCCTTCGGGCCTACTAGAGTCATAGAGATCGTTTGTTCTCGCGATACACGCTCGACCCTCGCGGCGACCGCGCGTGTTTTCACCGGCCGTATTTGCCGTTCCTTTTGAACACGGTCAAGTAATAGACACCATTAGTATCCTGAAGTAAAATTAATAGTATCCAAAAGGGTTTAACCCGGCAACTAAAG